CTCACTACTGGACCAATTGACAGCGTCAGGATGGATGGCGAAGAGATTGAGATTGTTCACAGCTTCAGTTTGCTCGGCTCCACAGTCAACACTCTTGGCACCAGCAGTCAGGAAATCAAAAAGTGTATCGCAATGGGAAAGTCTGCAGTTAGGGACCTCTCTAAAGTACTCAGGAGCCATGGTGTCTCTCTGGAGACTAAGGTGCACCTGATACAGGCCATGGTATTTGCAATCGTTTGTTATGCATCTGAGAGTTGGACAATGACTAGGGAGGACAGAAGGAGAGTGGATGCTTTTGAGCTGTGGTGCTGGAGAAGAGTACTGAATGTACCATTGACTGCCAGGAAAACAAACAGATTCATCTTGGAGAGGATTAAACCAAGCTACTCCTTGGAGGCAAGGATTCTGGGGCTTCATCTGACATACTTTGGACACGTTGCAAGGAGGGACGGGTCCTTGGAGAGGGACATCATGCTTGGGAGGGTGGAGAGACATCGCAGGAGGGGAAGACCCTCTATGAGATGGATTGATTCGGTGACTGGGGTAATCGGGATGGGTGTGTCAGAGGCAGTGCGGTTGGCGCAGGATAGAGCAGGGTTTAGGGCTGTTGTGCATAGGGTCGCTATGAGTCGAAAATGACTCGACGGCACATAACAACAACAACAACATACCAAGGGATTTAATACATCAAAAATTTGAAGCTTTATTATTTTGTTTCAAAGTTTGTTTTTAGAAAATTTCTAGCCTAGACATTTCTCAAGAGAAAGATGTAGTGATCTTTTGCTATAAAGGCCACAGCCCAGGAAACTCTATGCACAGTCCCTTTAGAGTCAGTATGAGTTAGAATTAGCTTAATAAAACACACAAGACATTTCTATCTTCATTCATGTCAACTAATTTTCCTTGTTCACAGACTATAAAATCACACATTTTATTTACAATTGGGTGATTTTTGGAGACTTTATAAAATAAGGTTATAGTAGATTTGGATAGAGATGCATCAAATAAATTTCAAAACCAATTGAGTATGCTACAGAGTAGAAATAGTATAAGCTCTCCCTAATGTCAGTGTCTGATGGAGCTTGTCAGGTGATAAGTTACTCCTGGTTTCTTTGCACAAAGCTTCTTCTTTTGGGGTTCTTTTCCCATTGTTCTACTTTGGAGTTACAAAGTTCTCTCTCCATTTTTTAGAACCAAGTCAACTATGCACCACTGGCATTGATTATTAACTTCCATGCTTGTTCTCATTCTCAGATAATAGGGACTAAATAGATATCAGTGGCTCTCAGCACTAGCTTTCCATTAAAGTGCTTAGTGGAAAACTTGGAAAGGATACCTGAACCCAGTTCTGAAAGTTCTAATTGTCAAAAGCCTCTTGGTTTAACAGATAATTTTGATACACAACAGAGATTGGGAAACAGTAGCAAAGTAATATAAGTCTAACTGCAGAGACTTATGAAAGAGATTAATGAAATATGTATTTAATGAACAACTATTGCAGAAGTCAAGAGCTATAGTCTTGATAGAAGCCCAACCTCAAGAAAACAAAGATTCTCACCACTGAGCTTATTGGGAGCATTATGATAGATGGTGAAGAGATCGAGATTGTTAACAGCTTTAGTTTGCTTGGCTCCACAATTGACACTCTTGGTACAGCAGTCAGGAAATAAAAAAGACTGATTGCATTGGGAAAGTCTGCTGTCAAGGACCTCTCCAGAGTACTGAAGAGCAACATCATCAGTCTGGAGACTAAGGTGTACCTGATCCATACCATTGTTGTTGTTGTTGCTAATTGCCTTCAAGTCAAGCACGACTCATACCAACCCCATGAACAAAAGGCCTGAATCCCCTCTACAATCATTGACATTTATCAAAGTTCACAGAGGTTCTTGAAGCATGTAATTTTGGAAGTGGATGCCATTCCTGCTTCCAAGATCCATGCCATTGTCTTCACAATTGTTTGCTGTGCTTCGGAGAGCTGGACAAGGGCTGTGGGTTTTGTTGTTATGTTCCGTCGAGTAACTTGTGACTCACAGTGACCCTATGTACAGCAGCCCTAAACTCTGCTCTGTCCTGTGCCAATCGCACTGTCTCTGACACTCCCATCCCAATTACGCCAGTCACCGAATAAATCCACAGAGGGCCTTCCCCTCCTGTGCTGTCCTTCCACCCTCCCAAGCATGATGTCCTAGGGATGATAAATGGAGAATTGATGATTTTGCACTGTGATGCTAGAAGTGTTGGATATTCCATGGACTGCCAAGAGAACAAACAGGTTAGTCTTAGAGAGGTTAAAATTAAGCTGCTCCTTGGAGGTAAGGATTCTGAGACTTCGTCTGACATACTTTGGGCGTGTTGTCCTTGGAGAGGGACATCATGCTTTGATGGGTGGAGAGACAGAGAAAGAGAGGGAGACCTTTCATGAGATGGATTGATTCAGTGACTGGGGTAATGAGGGTAGGAGTATCAGAAACAGTAAAGTTGACACAGGATAGAGCAGGTTTCATTCAGGGCTTATTGTACATAGGGTTGTTATGAGTTGCAAGTGACTCAATGGCACATAACAATACAATGTTGCAGTTGTTGCTGTTAGAGCAGTTGAGTTGACCATAGTTCATTACTACTCTATCACAGATCTGAACTTTGTCCTATTCTGTGCCATCCTTATCACTTGTAATATACTCAAGCCCAGGTTACAGTCACTGTGTGAATCCATATTGTTGAGAGATTTCTCTTTTGCTGACCCTCCACCTTTCCAAGCATGATGTCTTTTTCCAAGGCTTGGCTTCTCCTAATAACATGCCCAAAGTATGTGTGATGAAGTTTCACCTCTAAGGAGTAATCTGGTTGCACTTTTCCCAAGTGCAAGACAAGTTGGTCAAGGCATAGTGGTCAAGTTTGTTTCCCCTGGGACATTCTTCTGGGGTTATTGGGTTGCCTTCAGAGTCTCAGTGTCTTAGGCCACCAGAAAGGTGGTGACATGTGGATCTTCTTCCTTGTGTGTCTGTGGATGCCCTTCACGACTGCCTTCTTGTTCTTTAACACCTTTGTTTGGCTTCAGTTTGGGGAAGGGCAAGGGTATCTTCTTCATTTTTGGCACCATGTTCATAAAAAGCCTAAGTTGCTTGGTTTGTTTTTTTGTTTTTGTTTTTTTTTTAATGATTGACTCAACTGGGTTAGTGCTGGAAATGTTAAATTGGGGGCCAATATTGGCTAAATAATAGGATGTTTGTATACTCATTTTAAATCATCTTTTTTTAAAAAATAAAATTTTACTTTGTTATTTTTAAGACCATTTACAGAGAAATTAGGTTTCATTCATTCATTGTTGCAGAATTTAAGGCTTCTTAAGGAGGAAAATGACACTGAGTCATAAACATCAGTGTGGCAAGGAGAGGATCCTTTGAACACAATAAGATTATTCAAAAAAGATGTAAGAGCTCTTGAGCGATGCAACTAGTCAATGTATTCAGCTCCTAACTGAAAGGTTGAAGTTTTGATTCTACACAGAGTTACCTCAAGAAAAAGAACTGGCAAGCCCACTGCAAAATCAATCTATCTTCATGGGTTGAAAAACCCTGTGGAACACAGTTCTACTCTAAAACATCACAATAGGTTAGAGTTGACTCAATGGCAACTGGCCAGAAAGCCAATAAATAATAAGAACTCAAAAGTGGCATCTATTACGAGTATTATCGATAATCCTACATTCCCCCTACTTGCTATTGATTGACAGGAACACACAGAGAGAGAAAGAGAAAGGAGTAATGTTACCTCCACTGATTTGAATGCATGTGGTATAATGCAGAATGTAGAAACCTGGAGATTGGCAGAAGTTCCCCTGAGATTTGGGAATCAAAAATTACAAAAACTAAATGCTCCATACACCATGATAACCCACTGGGAGCTGGACTGCTTGTCTGTACAGGTGGAAATCATGATGAGGCTGCTAAGTGGGACCAGCAGAGAGCACATCTGTGCCCGCTCATGCTTCATTACTTCAGATAGTTCGCTCTCAAAAAAGCTATCTGGTCATTAAATTCGGATGTCTTTCTTCTTGTTCAGTGATGAAGATAAGAGCAAAGACAGCAAATTTTAATGATTTCTTTCTTTGTAGGTACAGAATAAACTCTCATTCTCTCTTTAGAGTAGGACGAGTCAGCCATATGCTAATGACTGTGTGCAAAGTACCTATGTGACTTGCTTATGTCGTTAGTGCAACTCGAAGAAGGAGGAACACTGCCCGCTGCTCCCCCATTCCTAGGATAGGGTAGGAGTCAGACCACTATAATCCTTCACTGACTGATATTCAGAAATCAATATCCAGGCCTTTCTTCCTATTTCCTCTTCATCTAGGAACTCCTCTAAAAACTGCTCCACATCACAGCAAAATGCATGCCTCCATTGACAGTGAGTGTTGACTACAGTGGCCAGGAATCGAATGGGCATATCCCACACACAAGATGAGGATTAACCAACAAATACACTTAACTATCAGAAATAATCCCCAACCAGAAAAGAGAAAGAATTACGACTTACGATGGATTCCTACAGAGAAGTTACTAGCATGCTTTGTGCACTTGACCCTCAACTCTTAGTACCTTTATTTAAACCTATAGAGAAATTTTGTCTTTCCTCCAAAGAAAAGGAGCATCAGTCTGAGGGCCTAAGTATGCTGTCAATACTTTTTACACATTTCCTGGCAGAATGGCATGCCACAAATGGGGACAACAACATGTGTTCCGTTTCTGCTCAGAGAAAAACATCCCATGTCAGCATCCTGGGATGGGTGAACTCACTGCCTTTCCTGTGACAGTATGCAATGGCAGAGAAGATCTGGAGGTGTGTGCCTCACACTTTACATGCAGAGGCTTCCAAGAAGCCTATACAGATAGACACACCAGACAGGTGTGTTTCAGACCAGCACTGGGCAGCCCAGGTTAGCTCGGGAGCACCTCAACTGTCACTGAGTGTGAAGATAATCAAGACTGAAGTCACACCTTTTGGTTCAGCAAAGGCAAGCAGCTTAAGTTTTCCTTGGTGAGTTGCAAGGGTGCGATCCGACATGTCATCTCTAATCACTTCTTTTTCTGAAGTCTGATATGCTGAGAGATCCGGACTGCTCATGTTAAAGGCTGGGTTCCCAGTGCCTGCTGCAGCATCTCTGCCCTCTTCAGCTAGAGTAAAACAAGGAGGCCAGGAGATAATCCATTAGCAATATATAGTACAATGACAAGCAGAATATTCCTTCTAGTAACTCTTATACTGAAACACTCAAGTGTATCGTCCTCAAATGTCACCAAAACAGAATTAGGTTAAAATTAACTCTTAAAAAAAAAAAAAGAATAAATGATTAAAATAATTACAAATTGCACCCTGACAAGCAAGAGCAAAATTTCGCCCACAGCCATTTGTCTGTAATTAGTTAATTAATCCTTACACAAATTATGAGCAATAACTCATCAAGCAAGGCTCACCCATCAGAAATTCAGCCGACTTGGATTTCTTCTGCTTAGTTTGCTTCAGAGCCTTCTGCTGAGACTTCTGGAGGGAAATTGTTAAATGAATAAATTAGCTAAAGAATGAAGATCATCATTTATGATCCACAACTAACACAGTATTTTAAACATGGAATGGCATTGAAATGTCATTTAATTTACATCTCTCCTAAAGGGGTCAAACACTAATTGAACAACAGAAGTGGAAGAATTAAATAAAAGCAGATAAGAAAAGTTAATACAAATGCCAAATGAAGGTCACATGAAAATATTTTGTTTTTATCAATTTTAATTAATGCAAAGAGCCCTCAACAAATTAAGGACACAGGAAAATGGGTGCCGAGAAACTTGCACTGGCATTCACATACGGCGTGCTACAGTGCCATTTCATTTCAGTAGCATAGAATATCTGTTAGAAAACTCATGTGTTTGTATCTATACTTGTTTTAAATTGCTAGATTGTAGTCGATGACATGATTATTTATTCACATCAACATATGGATAAATATGGTTCCTATAATGCTTGAATTTCAGTAAAAGGTATAAAATAGCATAAAGTACCAATAGTTTCCTACTCTTAGGAGAGTTACAAAGATTTCATAAGATGCCACATCACTGAACACCAGAACTCATTACGTGACTGCAAAAACCATTAATATTAGAATGCATAATAAATGGCAAAGATAAAAATGAATAGTCAGAAACATTATTAAGGTTCTCAGACTATTACAAGTTCCAAATGAAGACTTGGTAACTGTCAAACTAAATTTTTTTAAATCTACTGTAGAAACACCCAAATTCAGAAAGGATTATAAGACATACGTTAGTCATAAACATAAAAAAAAGAATGTACAAATCAGAAAACCACCATAATATGCAAAAGATAATTCCATATTAGATAATTCATTCAATGATGTTTTTGAAATCTGTCTATATTCAGAATAGCAACATGTCTTGCCCAGTATTAAAGTCCTATCTCATTTATCTTTAGGGGTTTACTGAAGCTTCTAAGAGTTCCAATTTATAAATTAAATGTTAATGAATAAATAAATTGTTTTAAAAAATAATTTCTCATTCTGATATTAACATGGAGCAAAGGCATGTGGAAGATGACCTTAACAAATAAGCCAGCCCTCCTTTGAATCACAAGGTAAATATTTAATGTACAATAGGTGACAAAGTTAATTTATATTGCTGTTCACAAAATTAAAGAACTCTGGTGGCCTAGTGGGTAAGGAATTAATACTGCCAATCCTGAGGCACATAGTTCAAACACACCAGTTGCTCCATGTACATTTCCTCCCATATAATTTACAGTCTTTTTTTTTTCTAAATGTGTAGAGAGGAGTTTTGTGCTTAGTTGTTGTTGTTGTGTACTGTCAGGTCAGAACTGACCCATAGATGATCCTCCAGGTTTTCAGAGGCAGTCTAATTATACCAATCTTTCTCCTAAGGAGCAGTGGGTGGATTTGAACTGTGTGCTTGTAGAATTGCAGAGCAGTTTCTTACCACTAGGCCAAAGAGATATTTTTATGTGGTTTAAAATCTATTAAAAAACACTAATATTTCAAGATTTTCCTTTAGAGAAAATGCATAATAAATCTTAGAGAAAAAAGTACATTTTTTAAAAAATATGGAAAAACTTGGAAATTCTGATTTTTCATTTCACATTCATTGTTAAAATAGAAAGATGTTCTTCAAATAATAGCATCATTTTAGAAACATAACTAGCATCTAGAAAGTAATCTCAGAATTTTATATGAACCATAAAATTTGCAAAGATGTGTAGTGCACTTACGCATTAAAATTTGCTACAAGTAGCAACAGAAAGTAAATGATCTTAATCAATGCATAGACTACATTGGTGAAAATACATGTAAAACTTTCAAAACCAGTACTTCATAACTGCACTAATATTCCTACATTTTCCTTAAAAAGAGACAAAATTGTGAGTGTTTCACTGCCCTCATCCAAGTAACAGCAGATACTAGTTTTCTTGAAAAGATTCAGCAATGTTGGCCTTTAGCTCCTTTCAGATCCAGTTATACATGCTTTTAAGCAGATGAATGTGACCTAATTATAGATCTAATTTCTTTACTAAGGATTTCCTATGAAAACATGAACTTTAATGCTATACAAGTCTCAAAGATAATTTTACAAATTCATGTGAAAAGGAAAGCAAAATCTAACTGTACACACCAGAGACAAACTATTTGAGAAGATTTCAAAAGGATAGTCTGTATGTGGTGACCTCTTGACTACTAACGTGTATGTTCAGGAGGAAATTGGGAATGATTTTTGACTTGTGTCCTTTGTCAGTTTGCTAGCCCCCTCTCTCTTCCAGACCCAGACACTTTGAAGGGATGGGAATTGAATCTCCTTCCACCTTATTCTCAATTAAGATTCATTTCCTCTCTCTTCAAAGATTTTTTTCCCCGCTCATGCAAAATAATCCTGCATAAAGTGCAAATAATGTATTTTCTATCAGTACCTTTCTTTCCTTCACCTTTCTGTCACTTGTTAAGTTTGTGTATTTATTGTTTATTAACTTATCAATATCTATTAAATAATCAAGAGTATTATAAAAATCAAATGAAGAAGACAAAATTTAGTCCCTTGTCTCTTCCTGCTTCTTCTCATTGATATAAACCTCAGAGACAAGTGATATGTTTACAAACTGTAAGTGAAGCTCCTACGGACACGCCCTTTGTCCTTTTGGCTTCTCTGTTGCTTTTTAGTTGATATGATAAAACTCAAAAGCCTATAAAAGTGAACAGTTTGTGGTAATGAGCTACTTCTATTGTTAGGTGTCTTCTATTCAATTATCACTCATAGCGACCCTGTGAACAACAGTTTGAAACCCTGCCTTATCCTGTGCCGTGCTCCTGATCTCTACCATGCTCAAAATCATTGTTACAGTCATTGTATCTATCTATCTATCTATCTTCCTCTCCTTCCAAGACTCTACATTCTGTTGGAGTGCTTTAAACGAAATTAACAAATTTAGTGCTGTGAAGTGCACTCCAACTTTCAGCAGCCACATGTGTGAAAAACTTCTCTATAGGGTTTATCTGCCTCTTACGGACCCAGATAACCAAGGCAACCTTCTGCAGACCCATGGATGATTTCCAAAATTTAGGTGAGTGGCCAAACACAAGCTATTTGCATCACTTAAACAATAGCAAATCAGCTCTTTATGTTTTAGAAAGAATATCATAGAATGCATACACAAACACACTCACACACATAAGTAAAATCTCTGATCTGACACAGAATAAAGCAACAACAAAACCCATGAAAATATTAAAACCGATAAGGTTTTTGCTACTTTACTTTAGATGGCAAGTGATATCTTTGGATACTGACACCCTCTACTTGGAAGGAAGTTTTCACTGGAGTAGCAAACACTGCAAACAAAACCATGCTCATTTCTTTATAGCCAGTGACAACCACAACCTACTAAGTTTGTAAGAGAATGTGATTGTTGTCAAAAGTCATTGAGTCCAGTCACGCTGTGTTCGGCTCTGGTTGCTCTCGAAACCATGGCTGAAGGGCTCTGTGAGCTCGTCTAAGGCTGGTGGGCACAGACCAGCAAGGAAAGTGAGTTCTGCATACTGTACGGATCATCGCTCAGTTCAGGGCAGTCAGATCGCATCTGGCCTCAACCCATTGTGCTTCATGAAACCGTCAGCCTTCATTTGTGTCTAGCTGTTTTCTCTTGTCTGGCTGTAAACAAGGCTAACTCTGAGCTGTCACCGTATCCTAGTGCGCATGGGAAGATTCCACAGTCAGACCTCATCAGCTACCTTAGAGGTCTAGTTCAAGTTCCTTCTTCCAGACAGCAGTCCCTGTGCAAACTGGGATGTCACACAAAGCAGCAATGTTGGCATGGCAGAGTTATAATCCCTGCTAGGGAACACATACCTTAGATTCCTACACAGACTGGCATGGTGTGTTTCATCCATGAAATTAAATTAGGTATCTGTGTTTGTTTGAGTGTGTGTGTGTGTGTGTGTGTGTGTTTCTAGCAAACTAGCTCAAGCGTATTCATCTTACTGGGGAAGCAAGAGTGATGATGGTTACTTTTACTATTTCACTGTTTCAAGACTCTGCCAGAACAAGGAAAAAGAACAAAACAAAGATAAAAACCTAAAACAACCCAGGGCTAGACATACTAGCATTCTGGCCAGATTCCAGAAGCTTAACCAAGCCTGAACACTGGCAATCTGATGACGGTAAATAAGATCAGGTATTCTGGCTTCTGCTATGATGCACGTCAGCCTGAGTGTCACTCTTCGAAGAAGCAGAAACTGATTCTGAAGGAACCTCAGGCCAATGATGAAAGGTAGGGAGTATCGTTGAAGTCGTGTTTGTGGTCATTGATGTAAAGGCAAAATTTAGCATTCACTACATTTAATCCTCCTGGCCAGCTGGTGTGTACCTGCTAAAACTTTGATGTAGCTTGAGCTGGAATCTTTTCTGTTCTCCCAGTCTATTACTTCATGGATTTAAGGAATAAATGCCAAAATGAAACAGCTTGCAATTTGCACCTGTCTGCTGTTAGCATTCCATGCTAGATTATGCAGAGGGTGAACTTCTCACAGCTAATGAGCGTAAGACTGCAGAGGGTTGAATGTAATTTTGTTGGGGTGATTCCCTGATATTGTAGTGTGTCTTCTTTTTCCTTTACAACTGAACTGATAAAAATTTTCCCTTGTATGTGCTGCAGAGTCCTTGGAGTAAGAAAACAAAAGCCAAAATGCATAGATTTAAAATTGTAAAATCTTAAAGACAAATTTTAATGCCATCTAATGAAAAGTTGAATCCACACTCAGCCTGAGTTGTCTTAGAAGAGGAAAAATTAAAATGCTAAATGTCTTCCAAAGTATCGCAAGCATAAAATATTTACGATACCTAAAATTCACAAAATCATTCATGAGACAAAGGAAATTGGATTTTTTTTTTGTATGTTTGAGACATGGAACTAGTTTGGCAATTAATGCCAAGTGTAAGAGAGGAAACAAAGTCTCTATTCATCTTACTCTCAAACATGAATAGTTATCTGATTCTAAAATAAAAATTCAAGTTTATTAATTCAATGTCAAAAATAACATAAACTGATACAGCTATCTTTGCCATTATGTTGATTCAAGATTGTCTCCCGCTTTTCTACAAGTTCTCTGGATCTCTGTTCTTTTACTCCTCTAAGAATTTATATCAGTGCATCTGTTACTGTCTAGTTTTAAAAGAATCTGATTGAATTCATTAAATTGAAATAGTTTGACTATGTCTTAAATGGCTTTTAAAATTTCCTTAAACTTTATTCTATAACATCTTAATAATAAGAGTTCTATAAATGAGCAAAGCATTGCTGAAGATAATGTCAAATATCATAAATAAATATACATCTACATATAAACACTTATGTACACATGTGCATGTACCATAGTAATTATAATATAGTAATGATCATTTTATTACATATAATATATATAGAAATCATAACTTTATATTATATACTATATATGTGAGCGATACATGCTATTAATCAAAGTACCCCAACAACATTTTTAGATTTCTATTGAAATAACAAATGATGTGGTAACAGGTCAAATGAAATTGAGGGGTCACAAGAGTGTGGTCTCAATAGTAATTGATGTGGTTGCATCTGGCTCTTGCCCATGTCTCTCCTGACAGAGAATGTCCCAGCATGTCAGGGAGAGCCCCTCTCAGCAAAGCTTTAGGAGTTCTGCCTGCCTTTGCCCAGTCTGGCAGGTCAAAGGACTGAGCCATGTGTAATTCAGAACAGAGGAGGTCCCACGGTCACTCCAAAAAAACAATTACACTACTTATTTCACTCTAGCCCTTGCCCAAAACTCACAGACCTCACAGTTTCAGCACAGTCAATCTAATTCTGCCCTTGGGCGATAAGCCACATGAAAATATGTGCTGCTGTGTTTATAAATCTAATCAAAAATAGAAACAGTGGACAGGCACAATGAGGTCCTACTATGGACCATGGGAATCCTCAAAAATCCTGAAGGCTCTTTTGTTTCATTTCAATAGACTCTCTCTTGCTACTGCGTTGTCTGCTACACTCGTTAATCATCCTCTTTACATGTGAGCACTACAAAGAAGGCTAAATTTGTGCTCCCTTTAGCCTTTACTAACCATGAATAATATTCTAAAAAATAAAGCGTAAAAGGTTGCTTTTAAAAGAAAGAATCTAAGGAGTGGCATATCAGTCTTACCTCTTTATCCATGTCTTACCTCTTTATCCATGCCCTCTGCTCCTTGCCTTGGGCAATGTACAGATTTAAATCAAGTTCCTCTAAAAAAGAAAAATAATATTTGAAAACTGGAATAGAATTGACTCCATTGTAGCTAAAGCAAAGATCTGGAAAGTTGGAGAGTATGATGCTACTTAATTCTCCTGAGAGATCTAAGTAAAAAGTCAATAGATTTGATTTGGTATCTCGTATTTACTGTCATTACTTTTCTTTGGTTAGTCAGAGTCTTACTATCCTGAGAATCAGTGAGAAATAAAGAAATGTTTTGAAAAAGTAATCTCTAGGAAAATCCTGGACATGGAGTGTTATTAGGTGACCTCTAGTCAACTTGAATCCACAGGACCCACGAAGGCAGAGTAGAACCACTCCAGAAAGTTTCCTAGGCTGGACTCTCTAATGTATCAGATTGCCGATCTTTTTTTCTGAAAAGCAGCTGGGGGCTTAAACCAACTGAGGATCTTTCAGGTCACAGTTACGTGCTTAACCCTCATGCCACCAATGCTCTTTAAACACACAGAACCCTACAATGTCCATGAGCAAATTCTGACACATAGGGACTCTCCATTAGGTTCCTGAGGCTGTAAATCTTATGGAGCAAGGACTGCCCATATCTTCCCCAAGATACTTGATTTTGATAGCCTAATTTTCCTGTATTGTGCCAACATGGTGACTAATTCAGATCACATTGAAGTTGTGATGAAAACTTGCTGTAGCATGCTTCAGTTAGCTGTACTGTATTTATCTTTAAAAGAAAAATGTGATCTCCTTCTGCAACAGTCATAAAAAAGATAGTATCTTATAAAATCAGTGATAAATATGTGTATTTAGGGGCCAAGAAAATTAAACCCTGAGAATGTTATCTAGCAAAGATAAGAAATGTAAACATGAATGCAAATAAGTTTTTAACACTCTGTCTCTCTGTCTTGCCATCTAGTTAGTTACCACTCACAGCCAACCCTCCAGCAATTTTCAAGTAGATAACTAGCATCAAAGAATATTCTCATCTTTCTCCCACGAAGTGCCTGGTGGAGTCAAACTCCCTGGGAAAGGTAGCTTTTGGTTAACAGAATAAGCTTCTATGAACTACTGCATCAGAGTTAGAATTGTGCAATAAACAATTACACTTAATTTGTAAACTAGTCAATATTACATTATATATATAATATATATATGTATATTATATTATATATATATATAATTCTAAAAAATAGTTTACTATAATACAGACTTAAAGTCATTTTGATAATAGTAAGTAGGAAATTCTAAATGCAAAGAAGGGTCCAGCATTTAGCAGATTACTGCAAACATTTACCAGAGGAAGATTCTAAACTGGGAATTAGTCCTTTTGAAATGGTTATCAGTATTTGACAGCAAAACTACATATAACATATATGAGTGACATTTGTGACAGAATTCAGGTCTATCAGTCATAGATAAAACATTTCTACATAAAATTTATGTGGTCTCTTAAATAGATATCAATTCTTAAAAATATTTCAAATATCAAATTATTAACTGGCAGATGTGCAACTGAGTTTAGAAGTGGTCATGACACTAAGGACATTTTAGCTAATGTTAGATGAATCTTACCTGAAAGGAAAGAGTACCAGAGGAATGTCTATCTATGTTTCACTGATTGTGAAAAGGCATTTGACTGTATGGATCACAACAAATTTTGGCTAACCTTGAGAAGAATGAGAATCCCAGAACACTTTATTGTGCTTATGTAAAGTCTATACTTGGACCAAGAAGTGGTCATAAGAACAGAGCAAGAAAACACTGCATGATTCAAATGAGGAAAAATGTATGTCAGGAATGCATTCTATCTCCATATCTTTTCAAACTATAAGTGGAACAGATTATTTGGGAGACTGAACTTTATAAGGAGGAATGTGACATCAAGATTGTGGGAAGATTCATCAACAACTTATGTCATATATATGACACAACCGTGCTTGAAGAAACTGAGGACTTGCATTTGCTGCAGAAGGACTGTAGTCTTCAATATGAATCGAAGCTTAACTTCAAGAAAAAAAATGATTCTCACCACTGGACTAATGTCAACATAATGGTAGATGGAGAAGAGAGATTAAGATTGTTAACAGCTTCAGCTTTCTTGGTTCCATAATCAAAACTCTTGGCAACAGCACTCAGGAAAACAAAAGATGAAATGCTTTGGAAAAATATACTGTTGGAGACCTCTGCAGAGTACTGAAAAGCAATGATGACAGTCTGGAGACTAAGAAGTACCTGATCCAGTCTATAATCTTGGAATTATTTGTTATGTAGTAGACAGCTGTACAATGACTAAGAATAGTACAAGAATTGATGCCTTTGAGTTGTGGTGCTGGAAGAAGAGTATTGAACTGCCAAGAGAATAAGAAGGCCTGTCCTGGAGAGGGAGAAATCAAGCTGTTCCTTGGAGGCAAGAATGTTGAAGATCCATCTCACATACTTTGGACGTGTTGCTAGGAGGGATCAGTCCTTGAAGAAGGACATCATGCTAGGAAGGACAGAGGGGCAGTGGAGGAGAGGAAGACTTTGGAAGAGATAGATTAATTCAGGGACTGGAGTAATGGGGATAGGAGTGCTGGAGACAATGAGATTGGCCCAGGCTAGGGCAAAGTTCAGAACTATTGCAGATAGGATTGATAGGAGTTGCAGGAGACTCAATAGCACATAACAACAATAAATTTACCACATACAGAATAGTATTAAAACAATCAAATATATAAAAATGTTTATATCAAATAAGTAAAATTTTTAAAATATTTTTCTAAGGTTACTTTAAAAATTAAAAGTAGTATCCTGTGAATATCACTGCTAAAATTCTTTTAAAAGTGAAACTAACATAAGGTCTAAAGTAATACACAAGTCTTTTATATTGCTTATGTAAGGGTCTTACTTACTTGGCATAAGGTCAACTATGGTTCTGTTCTGAGTTGAACACAACACGACAATATCAAAGTAGGGGAAGGGAGCTCGCTTAGAACATAGCTAGTTGCACTGTAATAGAAAGTTTCATTAGTCATCAAGGTGTCTAAGGGAGAAAGGTGTGCACTCTCTTCCCAATATGATTTACAGCTTCAAAAACCTGATGGAGGGTCACCATGAGTAAGAACAATCTCAATAGCAGTGAGCTTGAGTTTTTTAGTGTCAATAAGGTAAGATAAATTATTAAGAGTTTTTGAAAAAATAGAGAACATTATGCTGAGTGAAATATCTCAGTCACATAAAGACAAATACTGAGTAAGACCACTATTGTGTAAAAGGAGGATAACTGAGTAAGATATGTGTAAATGTTCAAAAGGGGAAGGGAAGGAAGAGATGGGAAGAGATATAGGGAAAAGGGAAGGGGGAAAAAACACTGGCATAGAAAAGGTGGGTGAATGGAGTGGGTTGAAGGAATGGAAAATGTTAATTGGGAGCTTAATAGATGATAATAGGCATAGATCAATGGTAATTAATGATATAAAATATCATGTATATAAATGATTATACAAGACACAAAGTACATATACAAAATACAATTTATATGAATATTTATATATAATCCCAAACAATGTTTTTTAAAAAGTAACAAAATGAAAAATTAGCAATTGAAATTAGCAAAAATGGAAATTTTATTTTCTTAGATATTTTTCAGCACCACTGAGAGAACTGGCTGAATAAGGATGACAGAAGAACTGATGCCTTTGAGTGGTAGTGTTGGAGAAGAGTACTGAATATCCCGTGGATTCCCAAAAGATCAAACATATATGTCTTGGAAAAGGTGCAGCCAGAGTGCTGTTTGGAGGCAAAGATGGAGAAGCTTCGTCTCTCATACTTTCGATATGTTACTAGGAGAGGCTATTCTTTGGAAAGGGACATCATGCTTGGAAAGCTGGTGGGTCAGCAAAGAAAGGAAGACCTTAATTGAGATAGATTGACACAGTGACTGCAGCAATGGGCTTAAGTGTGTTAGAGATGATGAGGATGGCGCAGGCTAGGACAGGGTTCAGATCTGTTGTTCACAGGGTCATACTCGACAGCACCTAACAACAGGTACGATAACAATATGGTTATGTGTATGTATGTATCTCTGTGTATCTGTGTGCGAGTCTATGTGTTGGTCAGTAGGTGCCTGGGTGTCTGTATCTGTGTGGGTAAACATATCTATATGTGGGCTCTGTGTTTGTGGCATGTCTGTGTTTGTGTCTATGTCTCTGTGTGAATGTACCTAAATGTGTATAAATGTGACTGGGCATATCTGCATAAATACAGGGAGGCATGAGAGCCTTGGCCTGCACTTCAACTCTAGATATTCTGCTGTCAATGAACAGCCAGTCATGGACAGGGGCTTGGTTTAGGCCCACCCAAGACATGCTTTGGAAGCAGGAGTAGCATCTACTTCCATAATAGCTTGCCTTCAGAAACCTTATGAACCTGGGGAGAGGATGAGAGACACACAAGTGTTGAGGACTCTTCTTCATAGGGTCTCTATGAGTCGCCTGCCACTCGACGGCACTTAACAACAGCAACAATAAATATTTTTCCATAAGAAAAATTGTGAAGAGTTGTTCAAAAATGTATCTAGGATCTGTATATGAAATAGAAATATGCTTTCTTTTGTTCCCTTGAATTTATTCTTAATATTAGCCATTAATATTTTTTATATCTAAAATATTTGAAGTTTCTATATTAAAGCAAGTTTACATTCTTTTCTGTGGAGGGTTTTGGGCGGAGAAGTTCCATTCTCATTTTATTTCATACAATTATACTAAAGATTGAGTCTTATAAATTATTCACTATTGATCTATGCCTACTATTGCCCTGTATATCCAGATCCCCACTGGTTTTGATTTGCATCTTTCATATTGACAGTAATTTTGGTCATTTCTTCATGTGTCTGTTGGCTGTCTGAATATCTTCCTCTGTAAAATGTAAATCCTCAAACCATAAAAATCATAAGAGACAAGATTGGAACAATCTTAGAAGCCTTAGCTGCTATGGCTTAAATAGGCAGGCAAATAGTGCCAGAATTTCATAATTCTTTTACCCCCT